TTGAAAAAAAGTAAGCATAATGTAAAACAAAATAGCGAAAAATTATCTTTACTGATAAAGTCGGTAATTATGCATTTACTCTGTGAAGATAAGACATACATTAGTTATTATAAAGTGTACAGTACAGTATTCTTTTTTTTAAATGCAATAGGAAGTTAATTGAAGTCATGAATTATCATCACATGTGTGCACTGTACATTTTAAGAGAGAAAATAAAATGAAGAAAGAAGCTAGAGATAGATAAGTAAGCTGCTGGTATAACTTTGTTTACTTTTTAATTATTGGAGGTAAATGCACGGGATTGTATTTCCGCTGGGATTTTGAATGTTGTCTCTTGTCCCAAGTCATCGCATTATTATGATTGTCAGTTGATTTATTCTTTTTCAGATTAAGAAACTGTCAAAAAAGAGATAAAAAATGTGTTTGTTGTTAATGAAAACGAAGTTTACAAAGAAGATTTTTATTTTAAAAAGAAATTGACATCATTCAGTGAACTATTAAAAAATGGGCTCATATCCAGTGATCCCCTAACTGATATCGATTTGTAACAAAACATATCGAAAAATCGTAAAAAACGTCGTAAAGAAACCTGAGGATGTCATGCCTAAAGTAGAAATAGCACTAAGTGGGATAGACAAAACTACGGCTGATGAAGTACGGGCACAATGTGCACTAACATTAAAACGACAAAAATGTGGAAAGCCTAACCTGACAAAACAAGAGATAGAAGCCCTGGAACGCCTTAAGAATAACAAGGATATAGTTATCATAAAGTCAGACAAAGGAAATGCAACAGTAGTATTAGACAAATCAGACTATTTGGACAAGGTAAATACTCACATGCAAACAGGACCATATGCGGAAATTAGTAAACCAATAGATACAGTTATGAATAAAGTTAAGAAATACACAGCGGACCTTATACGCCGAATGAAGCCGTTTCTAGGTGAGTCTAAGTGGTTTAATTTAATGCCCAAAACTAATAACCCCAGTAGGATGTATGGTGTTGTTAAAGTTCATAAGTCAGGATACCCTATTAGGCCTATAGTTGATTTCAGAAATTCACCTACTTATGAATTATCTAAATATTTAGCCATGGTAGTAAATCCCCTAAAAATCCACTCGAAATCTAGACTAACTAATTCTTATGAACTCAAACATAGATTAGATAATTTAAAATTAGATAATGAAGAAAAAATGGTCAGTTTTGACATTGTCAGTTTATATACACGTATACCAATAAATATGACTATAGAGGCAATCAGAAACGAACTAATTTCTGACCAAGAACTCGAACTTAGGACAAAAGTGCCACTTGAGGACATAATGCTGGGAGCACAGCTATGCCTGACTTCCACAGTATTTAAATTCCAAGGGAAAATATACAGACAAACTGAGGGAGTTGCCATGGGATCACCAATATCCCCAGTTATAGAAGATATATTCATGGATAGGTGGGAAAGCATAGCGATTGAAACGTCCACCCCCACCTCAAAAGTATGGTGGAGTTTTGTAGATGACATATTCATTGTACTTAGAACACGAGATATAGGTGGATTTTTTGAACACATTAACTCGAAGGTTGAAGCAATTCAATTCACTTATGAATTGGAAAATCAGGAAGGGGAGCTCCCTATGTTAAATCGCAACGTAAAAAGGAAAGAAGATGGGAAGTTAAGCACTAGTGTTTACAGGAAACCCATACATTCAAACAGATATTTGGACTTTCGATCATCCCATCCTTTGACAGTAAAAATAGGATTGGTGAAATGTTTAAATGACAGAGCACAAAAACTAAGTAGTACTAAGGAAAATCTAAAACAGGAACTGATACACATAAAAGAAGCCTTGAAACTCAATAATTACCCGGATAAACTAATCAGGAAATATGTAAGGAAATGTCAAAATAAAATAAATAATGATAGTAGCGATAATGATAATAATAATAACGATAATAATGGTAACAATAATAATAATAGTGATAATAATAATATTAATGACGACATTAACAAGGAATCTAAATCATCAGTAGTAATTCCAAACAAAGAAGGAACCTCGGAAGCCTTACGCAGAATTCTTAGCAAGGCATGAATAAAAATGGCATTCAAACCCACAAACTCAATTAGAAACGAGCTTTTTCGGTTAAAGGATCAATCCTGTGGAGCCTTTAAAACAAAACAATTGAGTTTATCTAATACCCTGTCTGCAATGATTGTCTTTTTTCTTTTGTTTAAAAAAAAAAAAAAAAAGACATGAAAAGATTAGCTGTCTTCGATCATAGGTGTCTGCGTTCTATCTCCCGCGTGAAGTGGTATAATAAGGTGAGCAATATTGAGGTTAGGCGTCGAGTGCTAGGTAAGGAGGGGAAATCAATCGACGAGACTGTGAAATTACTTCGACTGAGATGGTTAGGACATGTGCTACGTATGCCTAGTCATCGCCTTCCTCGACGGGCAATGTTAGCTGATATAGGGTCAGGCTGGAAAACAGCTAGCGGCGGTCAAACCAAAACATGGCACCAATCAATGAAATCCACAACAGTTAATCTAAGCCACGTAGGAAGATGTAGACTTCCTGGTTGGGGCCCTCGGGATGGTAAAAACCAATGGTTGGAAACAATTGGTGACATGGCTCAAAATCGTTCTCAGTGGCGCAGATGCATCCACTCCTTGTGACTTATGATTTCCAATTAAACTTTTGTTCTCCGTTATTACTATTCCTTTGTCTCACACCTCTGTTTACTGTCTATATTATGCATTTCTTCTACTTTCTTCTCTTGCTTTGCGTGCTACATAGATTGTGGCGACTTGAACTGCCGCACATATGTGCAAAGTTCTATGTCGAAAACCGACCGACCGACCGACCGCAATGATTGTCAGGTCAAATACATAGGTGAAACTAGTAGAACAGGGACAGTCAGTCAGACTAGCCGAGCATAAAAACCTGGCAAAATCTAGATGGTTGACCCGAATAAGATAAAAAATCTACAGAATAGTTCAGCTAAAGCTATACATGCAATTACACACAACCACACAATAGGATGGGATAGGATGACAGTTTTAAAATCTAATGTCACAGGAATCAACTGCAAATACGTGTAATAGGAATGATTCATCACCTGTCCCCGATATCTGGAAAATTCTACTACCCATACGACAAATAGGAGAAAACAAAGGAAACTATAAAACTCAAGTGTCAAAGTCGTGTGATTACAATTGATATGATTATGAACAATAAATTTTGTTCGAAACGTCATCCAGTAAATAATACTGTTTCCACACTGTGTGATACATCTAATAAACAAACTAATATGGAATTACTTACTACCACAGTGCCCAAGTTTTATACATCTGTTCATATGGTAAAATTAGTCCCATGCTCATTAGTAATTGACTGGATGATGGACTTTCTAGAGTTATCATGAGAAGTTGTAGTCGGCAGATTTCGTCAGGTCGAATTTAGAGACAAATGCTCATCAACGACACTAGATAAACGTGGCACTAATCATGAATAGACAGAAATACCAATGTGCAGTCCACCATATGAATAGCCTCGTGTTTGCCTCGTAACTGAAGCCTTCAGTTTGTTCGCCGATGGGCTCACACAATGGGTATTGTTGAATAGTTTCAAAATTAGGCTGAAACAGATGTCCAGTTCTCCTGATCATCAGTGACTGTCTAATCGAAGTTGGTTAGCAATGAAATCTTCCTTACACTTTTTAGCTACAAAATGTTTTGAAATCAGTAAGTTAGGGGCAGTTGTATTACTATATATATATTTAAGAAATTCGAACTGCCTATTGCATAACATTAATAAGTAGTATTCAGATAACCAAACTTTTGGTTAGTGCAGTGCATCTAGAAGGAATGATACAGTGTATGAAACTTGATTGACCGAGGCAATTACTCTTTATCCAATACGTGTAAAATTGGGCGTAGAGAATACAAAACACTTAATTCAACAGTAAAAGTAAATACTAGTTTGACATCAATACGTTTTAGATGAGTTTAAATTCGTTCAAGCCAAAGTTTCCCTAAGTCAACTTTATTTTCCTAGAGGTCTCAGTGGAACATAGGACTTTAGACTTTAGAGTTTCAGTAGAGGTAGTTTTGCCTTTACGAGGTGCAACTGTCAATCTCACACCCTACTCTTCTTGTTTTCCAAGGTTACTAGTGGCCCTAAGAAGTTTAAAAGTGAGTAGATTAGGAATGAAGCCCTGACGATGTGTATGATTGGCGGTAATTTTACCCTTACATCATTATTTAACTAAAATTGTATCCTTTTACTTCTAAAAAATATATTTTTCCATTCAGTAATGTTTTTCGTCCTAAGAATCAGTTTGAATAAAACGAAATGAATTACTGCACTGATGCATAGGCAAAAGAACGCTATCAAATAAAAAAATATTCATTCAGACATCTATAAAACACAAAATAATTGAGTAAAGAAGGATATTATTTTCGATAATTTCCTCTTCTGGCTCTACAATTATTTATATGTTTATATATATGGAATATTCTGGATTAGTAGTCAATAATAATACTAGTGCTTTTTTAAATAATATCAATTTGTAAAATAAGTTCAATGCAATTACAGTTCATTAAAGATGCTTAAATTATAATAATAATAAAGATATAATAGCGAATAGGATATCAACTAAAATTAAGGAAAATTCCACAGAAATTCAAGATCATTCAAACCTAGATGGCCAAGCTAATGATAATGTCTGAAATGACTTCTTTGGGATGCACAAATTAGCTTTGTTAGTATGGATCTCAACAACCTCAGCAATATTTAGTAGTCGAACTCTTAAGGCAAAATTGAGATTCGTAGGTATGCGGTAGGTGACTTTGAAAGCCGCCTCGTTAACATCGGTCTTGTGTTCTTTATCCACAAAATGAGATAGAATAGGGCTGTGAATAGACTTTGGTTGTCCTTTACCTAACCACACAGGCTGGTGTTCGGAGCAGTTAAATTGGTAGATACACATGAAAGAGGTGAAATAAAAATGTAAGCATGAACATGCTTCAAATGTCTTCATAACGTATTCAGAATAAAAGCTATTAGAATGAGAAGCTATAAACAATAGCCCATTAAGTAGAATAAGTGACAGTTACCATAGACGACTAGATGCAGTCGAGAGAGAGTGGACTTAGGTTCTCCTCCCAAAGTGCTAGCGCATGGCTACGCATTCACAGCTTCTTCCATGTAAGTTTTATTCAGTGCCTTTATGCGATAGGAGTGTTTCATACACATACAATTGGCGCTTACAGGCAGACGAATGGAAGTGTTGGTCTACCTGGGGGAGATGGAAAACCCTGATTTCAAGTCTGTGTTGTACATATGCTCTAGAACTTGAATGCATCAAATGGAATACAAACCTGTTTTGGCCGCCGAATATCATGGGAAGGCAGTTTCCGATGCTGTTCTACTACCTTGTGGATTAAACTTCAAGTCAGAAGATAGGGAGCGAGTGGTGGTCCCTTAAGCCAACGACCTGCTCTGGTCTGGATGTCTTGTCAGTATCCCAGCACTTACAAAAACTATAAGATTTTGTGCGGTGTATCACTTGGTGCCCATAATGTACCAAGTTTGTTTGTTAGGTAATATAAATAATCAAAAAATACAATTAATTATCAACTACTGCTATCAGGCATAAGACCTGAATAGGATAGCTGTCTTTAGTCAGAGGTTGAAGAATCGCCAAACACATAGTAAACACCTAGTCAGAGTAAGGTAATTCAGGGATAATGTTGAGATAAGAAGGGAAAGTCAATCGATCCGGTTGGGGAGCTACAACGATTATATGGGTGGCCAGATTGAATAAACAACAAGGAACATTGGTAGTCGGCCGAACAAATGTCAAGAAGGCGACATGGAGACGGATTAGATATACTCTGAAGAGATCTTCAAGTGAAATCACACACATTAGGCCCTGGAATGGAACCCAAATGGAAAGCTACAGGTTATGTAATATGAGACCGACATAGAGAAAATCATGTGAGGAAGGGATGAAAGTTTTTGATCAGTCGCGAAACCATACCACTGAGGTCACCTGTTCCACTCAGAACAAATTATAATATACATATTATGCCACAGTGTACAGAATAATAAACAAGGTATTAATTGCAAACTAGATAGGTGTACTTCGAGTTTAATCGTTTAACGGTGAACGTTTGGCTGTCAATCTAGGATAACTTTAACGATACTTACAGAATGACGGGTGTTCACAAATTTATTAACAAGCTGCATTTGTTTATCGAAATTTATAATGTAATCTGGAAATAAACTTTCTTCATTGAAATGACTTGTAACAGCTATAAGGACAACAGAAAAATTGGAAAAATAAAGTAAATAATTTGAGAGACTTTCTATTTTTTTCGAGTCAGATGAAAAATAGAACACATAACGAAAGTGGAAACGCGGTGAAACAGTAAACTGCAATAAATAACTTTATATAATAAGAATAATAGTAATTATCTTTAGACTAACATGTTACACCAGATGCGTTCGTTTGGAAATTCGATATATTCTCCTCTAAGACTTCTAAAAGAACAGAAATTAAACGAAAATAGATTACATGCTTCCAGGGACTTTCTCTTGTTGATTTGGATGGATGGAAATAATATAATCTATAAAGGCTTAATTAGTGGACAATGAATAATGTTTCCGATAACTTCTTCATCAGTTTCTGCAGTTATATCCCGTTATAACGGAGTGTTATTGATTTGTGTTTGTCGTCTAACTTGATTAGAATGTTCCCACAGACACGACATTATAACCAGCTTATCACATAAAAATATTCGCGACACTGTGGGAGACACAAAAGTAAGATTTAACTGTGGCGACAACAACTTTTATTTTTATTTATTTATTTTCCCAGCATGGCTGCAAAGAGGAGGCACTGGTTCAATCAGAAGCGCAATAACTGAACATCTTGTCAATACCTGTCACAGAATCTCAACCGACTCATCATTTAGAGTCATCTACAAAGTAAACAAAAATCTGCCAAAGACAGTGTGCTTCCGACTTCTTTGTAGTGCGGAAGCTCTCGCCATATGCATCGAAAAGCCGGAGCTATGTGTTCAAAAGAAACTAGTCCAGCCTTTACAACTACCATGCACCTGGTTCGGTATGTTCCCTTATCCTTCGGATTTTGTTTTGTTATCTGTGTGTGTAGTTTTCTCTCTTTACCTTCATTCAATTCATCCTATTTTTTCAGTTATAAAATCAGTTATTTTAAGTTTGTTCCCATGCTCCTTCTGATCACACTTGTAATCCGTTTAGAATAACCATTTTACAATTATATTCTAATCCTGTGTAATTTTTTGTTTCTATGCCTCTTGTAATCTATATTCACACCTCCTAATTTACATTTCAAGTTGAAAATTTTAATCTCAGTTTGTTTCCATGCTCATTTTGTTCACACCTGTAATTCGTTCTAAGCCTCTTGTAATTCATATCAAGTTGAAAACAATTATCACCTTTTATTCGCCTTTAAAACTATTTCTCCAGTTATCAAATGTTAGTTTTGCATACGTTGTAACTGTTATCTAATCCTAAGCAATCTTGTCTCTAAGCCCTTTGTAGTCTATATTCGTACCTTCAAACTTTCATATCAAGTTGAAAATTATTATCACCTTCGTTACTATGTGGAATTAAACAAATAAGAATTGTAACAACTTTTATTGTTCAAAATACATAGTATATGTGTAAAGGTTGAAGACGAGGGACTTCGTAATGAATTGCTTATTTGGAATTCGGTATCTCTATGTAGCAAATTTATGTACACTTTATCTAAGAATCGTAATTTGCACAGATCTTTTGTGTTGTGTTGTGGTTCTTCTGTCCTTCATATTGCCTTTCTTTGTCTTCTTTTCACATCTTCCATATATCTCCTCAACGCGGAAATCATTTGCTTTCTCTGACATCAAAACTATCTCCATATCATTTGATGTTTCTATACCAATGAACATCTCTTTATATATAAATATACTAATGATAGGTCTTATCAGAAGTACACCCCACACTTATCCCCCTATCAAATAGTTCTGAACGAAGCCGTTCTGACCTTCTTGGTTCTACCCCTTCCTGTTGTACCTTGGTTCCAGCTTCTTTATCCCACTGTATCCATTTCATCAATTGGCCGATGTTAGCCCGTTTCTGCTTATTTCCTCTTTTGATGGTATAAACGGGACCACGTCTCTCGGTGACAGTGTATAGCCCTTCCCACTTTGGAAGAAGTTTCCGTGAACCTGCCCCAAATCCCACTGCGTCCTTCCTTTCTCTCCCCTTTACTTTCCTTCCTGTTCAGATTTCACGGCTTCTTTCTTCTGTTTATGCTTTTCATTCCGTTCGCAACCTCGTCATATTCCATTCACGATGGAGGGGCCAGGTTGTTCTGTGTATCGGTAGTCATGGTTTCCTCCGATACATCAACTGAAATGGTGACTTCTTTGTTATTTCTTGGGTGGAAACACGATGTGTTAGTAGAATCAATGGAAGCTCTGTCTGCCAGTTACCTCCCTTCGAGGCCAGCCAATCCTTAACTGTACGGTTATTTCTCTCTGTTACACCATTCGTCTGTGGATGATATGGTGTTGTTCTGATCTTCTTGATACCCAGCTGTTGCAAACGCCACATATGTTATTTACAAAAAACTCAGAAATTGAAGTCACAAATAAGTAGACAATTCTGACTGGCCGTTACCCTCAGAAACTGAAGCCATAAATAAACCAATTAAAAACTGTTCAGTTAGGTTGTCGTATCAGTATATGCATAAATCATGACTTCACGTTTAATAAAGAAGCTTATCCGTCCTAACACTTCCCCTTTTTTAAATAAGTTTTCAATTGGACGTCCTTCTGAAGATACTTTGTAGGCATGTGCACCCTCCGTCTATGATATTTCCATATTATTTAGGGATTTATTGTTATTGACAACATTAGTGTTTATCCAACTAATATCGAATCATTTAAGATGAAAGGTTTCAAAAGCATAAACATGAAATAATATGCATAAATACAACACTAAACTGAATATCAGATAAATCAGGAAAAATAATGTGGAATTTATGAAGTTATAGATTCCACATTAGACCAGGATAGCAATAGTTGGTGATCCTGTTTCTTTTCCACGCAGAACTCCGGTTTTTTAAAGCAAATTGCAGTGGCTTCTGCTGCACCCGATAAATGATAAAAAAGGATTCTTCAATGCTGCATTCATAAATATGGCAAAAACAACAGGTTTTGCAAAGTTAGCTGATATCTTCATTTATTTCATTGGTTTCTCATCAGTTGTATACAGTCTAAAGAAATTATTTAGCCTATATATAAAACAGTTTTAACATACTTGCAAAATTTACATGATGTCAGTTGACCGGAGGCTTTAAACTTAATAAACACTGCTCAGAAAATTATACTTATATATTTTTTACCCAGGGAGACAAGCGAAGTTATACTAGTTAAAAGAGGGAAAGGTCAAAGCTAAAGATTACGTAATCAAGTGACCAGTTACCAGGTCAAGGAAAGACTGATAATTGCTTCTTTCTGAACGCATAAATTGGGCTTCACTTATGGCCTGTTCCAGTGAGGTGTTCTAATATTGAACAAGCTTGCCCTGTAGCTTGAAGGTTCTAGGTTCACTTGCTGATTGTTCCGCGGGTGTGTACTACTGAAGAGTCCCAAAAAGGACGAAACAGGTGTTCAGTATACCTTGGTTTCCAACAGTCCTCGAAATAAAGTAATTTCGTCATTGAACTTATCTGTTGAACTGTTGGTATTTTTTACCAGACCTTTATTTAGTCACACTGTGGTGAGAGCTGGCTGCTAGCCAAAGTTGGTAGACAGTAATTTACGTCAATGTTTATGTCCCCAATATTGGTCGTGAGAAAATGAGAACAAATATTTTGCGCAGACGGATACAGTTGGCATATAGATGATATGACATTCAAGAAACAGCCACAAAGAGATGCAAGATTAACTTTCAGTGAGAAACAACCAATCAGAAGACTGTGTTGTTTGCTTAATTAAACTATAATAATGTACATGAAAATATATAAATATGCCTTGATTTCCTTAATAAACGATCTGTTGCCTGGCCCTTGTCTTCTGTTGTTACAACACTACTAAGTATTCCTGAGTATGAAAATCTAAGTTCCTAGGAAAACGACCAATTTAATAATAATGTTATTACTGACAATAATATTTTAATTTTCAAGTATTGTTTAGTAGGGATTTTGTTTGATTGCATGGAGGATTTCATCATGAGCTAACATCAGCTAGAGAACCACTGGAAAACCTGGGAGTACTGGACAGTTGTTTCGTCCAAGTTTGGGACTCTTCACGGAACGCACCCACCCCACCGGGTTTCGAACCCAGGACCTCCTGGTTACAAGGCGAGCTCGTAGACCATTGAGCCACTGGGACCCGATCAGCTCATGATGAAATCCTCCATGCAATCCAACAAAATCCCTACAAAACTAATACTAGAAAATTAATCTGATGCTCACTAGTGACTGGCCCTATTCAGGCAGTTAACCTGGGGTTCTACTGGGAAGCCGTGACCAGTAGGGTACAGCAGGTTGAAGATGAGACGGTAACTCATCGAATAAGACATTGCGAAACGGTCGCGCCATGTCGTGAATTGGCAGAAGTTAGAGTTCATATGCTGACCACTGGATCGGGTCCCAGTGGCTCAATGGTCTGCGAGCTAGCTCGTCTTGTAACCAGAAGGTGCTGGGTTCGAACCCCAGTGGGTGCGTACTACTGAAGAATCCAAAACTAGGACGAAACAACTGTCCGGTACTCCCAGGTTTTCCAATGGTTCTCTAACTGATTTCACTTCATGATGAAATCCTCCATGCAATTCTTCAATTATAATGAACCTATACGTATAGACTCTGATGAAGAAGTTATCGAAGAGAATATTCTTTGTTCAGTAATCACTATTTTGAGAATTTTTAATGATCATCTTTAACCAGTTAAAGTAGTGCCTGCCGATATTTAGCCTAGTTGGATAAAACTAATCTTTGATCATATAAACAGTGAGTAACAGTAATCAGTAGGCATGTTAGCTGAACTGAATTTTCACCACCCCCACCAACACAGTATGAGTCAGAATGAACAATTTTCAGGGGTCAACTTTACCTGAATCCAACACTTCTCTAGGAAGAAAAATCTTCACGGTTGACATGTGAGGAGAGCTGTCTGCAAGCCAAAATTATAGACAACAATTTATGTCAATGTTTACGTCCCGAATCGGGATCATGAGAAAAAACACAATAACAAAGCTTAACCTTGAAGAACTCACCAACCAGTCACAGCAGACTTAACGTGTGCAAATACGATTTGCAGATATATGGCTTAACTTTCTAAGAAATAGTCACAAGCAGTACAGAATAACCTTCAGCAAGAAATCAACCAATCAGAAGACGTTGCTTCCCTGCCAAAAATAACGCTAATAATAATGTACATAAAAATATCTGAATATCTGTTGATTTTCTCAATAAACGATCTGTTGACTGGCCCTTGTCTTCTGTCGTTACAGACTTTGTGGTCTTCTGAGAGTAATGGCTTCCTGCTAGCTATTACACCACGATTCACCGGCAGTTGAACGTTGCTCTAAGATCGCACGGTGTCGACTGCTTTTAGTTTATTTACTAACCAATAAATAGGTCTTTCTAGCATGATAGGACCTGCAGGGACATTTGTTCACATTAGGTTGTTCGATCATTGTGATATACAACCTTGACTACTAAACAAGTCATGAAAGTAGGTATGGGTCTATGGGGATTTTGTTCACTAGCTGTATCGAATTTGTATAGTTAAGAGAATTGAGTCACTTTTCCATCCCTCAGAATACGAATTCTGTCTACACAAAATTAATAAGTGAGAAGAACCATGTCTTGTTTTTTGATGATGATATGATATTTTGTAATTTCATTTAAATACACCTAAGGGTTTGTTTTAATCTTTTCAAGGTTAATCCATCATGTTCAGTGTTGAAGAAATAAACAGTTGTCTTCCAGTTAAACAAAACTTAATAAAAGGAAGGCTTAATGCAAACAGTAATTGACAAGACTCTAGATGGCGATATCGAAATTTTAATGGGTGATGTGAATGCAAAACTAGAGGTACTTCATATTCACACACTATTTGAAAATTTCATCAATCGAACAAATGATCTAATTCCAGTCTCTGATCAAGAGCTATTCTGTTATAATAATAATTATTCCTTTGGATTCCGAGGGGAACATGGGGCTTCGATAGTACATCTGGATTTCATCCTGTCCTCTGTAGCCATCTTTAGCTGGCTCCACAACTGCGCATAAGCTCATTTTTCCTCCTCTATGTCACTGTTGGACGTACACCCAGTACACAGTTTCTTATTCAGCTTCCATTTGAGGGCCTGGTACGCGATGTCATTCAACGCCTTCCCCAATGTGTTTCGTATTTATCTTCATTTTCTTCGGAATGTTATTAACTGTTTCGTTCCCAGAGTTTTATGTTGTTAATTCTTTCTGGGTACTTGATTTTTAGTATAGATAGAAGGTAACAGTTGATATAAGTCTTCAACCTGTTGGAAATGTTTGTCGTGACACGCAGTAGATGTTTCTCACCCATATAGAAGAAGTGACTGATTTAACTTTGGTCTGTTGCCTTTCTCATCCTAGTTTTGGCTTCAACATCTGTGCAACCTGTAACTGAAACGATGCCGCCTGGCCGGATAAGTGAAGGATGTGACCTCTTGCAAATTTCTTTCACTGATTGTGACTGGTGCTTGTTGTTGTTGGGTGGCTGGTTATCTTCATCACCCCTGTCTCCTCCATGTTTACTTGAAGTCCTATCTACACCGTCTGCTTCTCACAACAACTTATTGGTTTTCGTCTGTTATTCTTTGAGCTTATGTCATTAGACGTGAATCGTTCGCGAAGTCCAGATCTTCTATTGGGTTTTTTTATCAGCCAGTGCAGTGTATTCCTGTCCTATCGCTCCTCACTCACAATCTGTCGCACGATCTAGTCTACCACAATTAGGAATATCATCGGTTATAGTTGACAGCCTTGTCTTACTCCTGTCTTCACTTTAAAGACTCCGTTGAGTTTTCTTCTGTGAATCCCTTAATATGTGATATTGTCATATAGCTGCTAAATCAGATTGATAAAGGCACAGGTCGCTCGGTAGTGTTGAAGTAGTTTCCTAGCTACCTCGTGGTCAAAGATGTCGAAGGCCAGGAACCACCGTGATTCAAACCAACCATCTTCGACTTTTATCACTAGTAACTGCAGTATCACTGAGCAAAGCAGTATCGAGGATAACTAAAACAGCTGAATAGCTCTTATGAAGTATAATATTTATTTTTCAAAAGAGAAAAAACTCACGCTGAGGAGATTCAGGATTGTTTTTATTCACTGTAATCGATGCAATTTCTTCTTTATCTGTGAAATAATTTTCTGGATGAAACATAAAATCTGGCTGTTCCATGTCGGTTATTTGATCCAATTCACTCAGATGTAAAGCCTGATTAGTTCAAATTGTTTTTTAAAAAGGTAAAAGAGAAATATAACAAATGATGCAAATACTGTGCATATGACAATAATTGTTTGATAAGTTTCTCCTGAGCTATTTTAATTTTTTATTGTAGCTTGACTCCACACAGTATTTTTCATAAAAGTATGGAATTTCCAGCGTGTGCTATCGGTAGCCTAAGTTTAGCAGGCCGACCATTGGTATCAGGTGTGCGTCAACCGGGGGTTTGAACCCCGTATCATTTGCATGGTCGGCGAGAGTCCTAACCGCTATGCCACCGACGCACAATATTTATATTTATTTGTATGTTTCACTTAACTCTACAATTATATGTGTCCAAACCAAGTTCACTTTTAACAGTTTGAAAAAAAATTCGGTATTGGGTATATATGATATTCATTATAATAATGGTTTATTTTTTGTATTTCCCAATGAATGAAAAACAAGGGACTATATTGTTGTTTTTACTGATGTTTCGCTATTTAAAGCTACTGCTAATAGCTTTATTACAGAAGTAATATTAAACCAGAATTTACAAAATCTCAGTTTATATATAACAACTTAATCATCGTTCATCAATTTGGGGTAATTTTAAAGTTGTCAAGTTGGCCAATTGGTAAAGATAACAAAACCAGGTGTGTCGACTGTTGCATTTGATAATTGTATAAAATTATAAAAGCAACATGTGTTTACGTAATGAAATTGCTTATCACATTCCTGTTTATTTTGTCATTTCATGGGGGACGGAGATGTTGTAACCAGGTCAAGTTCTATTTTAGTTCATCATTCCTATTTGGACAATTTGGATTCCAGTCAATATGAAGTGCTTTTGATGGGATTAGATTTTCTTTGTGATTTCTGAAAAATTTTGCATTATTTCAATATTGTCAAAATCAAATTTGTGACTTGATTCTATAGCTCATAGATTTATGGCTGATGATTTTTCAAGCTTCTCTAGTTCACTAACTGGATTTCTCGGTGGTCGAACAGATGCTCTACGGTGCTCATTTCTTCTGATTTTGATTTCTCTCTGTCGATGTTTGTCCGATGTACATTGCACCACATTCCAAGCATTTTATTTTATAGACACAATTAGACAGAAAATCTTCGGGGATTTGGTCTTTTAAATATCAAAACTTCAGTAAAAACAATATCGTTTTGTTTTCTATTCATTGGGAAATACAAAAAAACCTTTATTATAATAACTTTATATTGTTATACTTCTTTCTCCTAGACTGTATGTACATCATTGTTCTGATGTTTTTACACCACATGTTGACTTAATCCTTATTATTTGTCCTTGTCCCTTTTTGATCTCCGTACTGCCGAAGAGTCCCAAACTAGGATGGAGGAAACAGCTGTCCAGTACTCCCAGGTGATAATCTACACTTAAGAACTAATCAAAATGATTAAATTAAAAATAACTTAAAATCTTGCATACAACTAATCTTCTTATATTGTTATCATTTTATTGTCATTCGCTTGAGTTTCAAGTGGAGCTTAGAGCTTCATCCTTCAACTATATATTCTTTTTAAGCTGACTCTACAACTGTCCTTAAGCTTTCATTCCCTTCTACTTACACAATCTCTTTCATGTCACTGTTGAACCCACGCTGAACGTGGGTCCCACTTCAAGGACTGCCTAGCGCGTAACTCAATGGTATTCTCAGTATATGTTCAATCCATCTTTATTCCCTTCTACAAATTTGTTTGGAGATAACTTCTTCGTTGGCTCGTTTAATTGGCTAGTCAATCCTAAGTTGGGAAAAAGGGTGAAGATCGGGGTTTGAGGGAGGGTTGGCGCCAGTAACTGTAGAAACTTCAAAGAATATGAAAATACTCTTTAAAAATAAACTAATCTTCTTAGGCATACATAAGTCTCTCCTATTTAAGTTTTCACTTTGAAAAAGGCATTAAAGTATTGATTTGTTAGTCACAGATCAACTATCAGTATTTATCATTATAACTGATCTACGTGAAACACCAAAAGCTCCAAACAGGATAGCTTACTGGGGCCTTTATTAGTGCCAGATGGCTGGAAGATTGTACCGTCTGAATTAGCTTCCACCTATAGACCTGGGAAGCATCGTTTCAACTACAGGCGGAACTGATGAGGATATCAAAGCAAGGATCGCAAAAGCAAGACAAACTTTCACTTCTCTCAAGTCTGTGTGGAGGTAAACAGCACTCAGCATCAAAAATAACATCCGGATGTTCAACTCCAATATGAAGTCAATGCTATCATACGGATCAGAGACTTGTTGCGTCATGAAGAGCACCTCAAACAAACTACGGAACTTCACTGACAGCTGTCTTCGCTCAGTACTCAAGATCAGATGGCCGGTCAGAAAAGATCAGCAACAGAGATCTCTAGCAATGAGCGAACCAACCAGGAACCGATTGTGAAACAAATAGGCAGGAGGAAATGGAGACGGATTGGCCATACTCTGAGGAAACCATCAAGTGACATCACTAGACAAGCCATTGCTCGAGTGGAACCCGAAAGGGAAGCGGCGAGTTGGTCGTCAGTGCAAGGGTGAGTTTGAGGAGGTCATGTGAAGAGGAGATGAAAGCATGTGGACAGACTTGGAGCCAGGTGAAGGCTCTAGCATAGAACCGAACGGAGTAGTGACCCGCGGGTGAAGCCGTATGTTCCTCTGGGAATTAAAGGAAATAATAATAATACAGACCAGTCATGGGAAGTGATTACATAATATCTAAATTACTGTTAACTTGTGTGTTTGCATGTTCTTCTGACTGTATTTAAAGGATATCATTACTTTTTTCCCCTCTTTCAGTTTTAATTAAAACATTTCACTTTGTTAGTTTCTGATATGTCGAATAATGTAGGTAGTTGCAGGACGCAGCAATATTTGCTACCGAAGTTGTCCATTTGGTGAACGATATACAGAAATGGTAAAGTACAGAAATCCTACACTGAAATTCCCATTTCCACAAGCTCTCCATATTCTGCTACTTATGACTTCCTTTCATGCTGTCTAAACTTTGTTTCATAAGGATCTTTCATTCTTCCTCTTCGCTATATGATCCGTTGTTTCTCGGCCCATTTTTGTCATTGTACATGTCCAAATTGACAAAGAAAATTAAGAAAATTCACCTTGCTAAGAGTGGTGCTTTGTTGTCGAATTCGTAGACTACTTATGAATGGATATGAGTAATATGTTGAGTAACAACTTCAGATAAATAACGACTATTTGTTTATCATTGGTGAAAGGCACTGACGAAGAAACGTTAGAAGAAAAAAAAGTTAAAAACTCTGAGAATAATCTAATAACGACCGAACACTGAAGGATAGAACACACTTAATATACAGTAGATGGTATTATTTGCCCATTAGGAGGTGAAAATCAGAAGAACAATGTGGGTTTAAGACTTAGTGTGTCCCGAAAACCATTTCCAATAGGTGGCAGAATCTCTGCCTTCTTGGCCTCCGTAATTAATATCAAATAGCCAGAAGGGATCGGTAACAAGAAACTCTGGGGATGAACTAACCAACAACCGCTTGCTAAAGAAATAAGGTGAAGAAAGTTGAGATGGATCGAGCCATATGGGCCCCCTAGTGAAGCCTGAGGGGTAAAAAACAGGTTGAGCATGTGTGTGAGGGTAACATGGAGAAGGTTGTGTGACGAAGAGGAGATGAGAGACAATGGGCACTCATGTGACCAGCTAAAGAGGGCTACTGGGAATGGGACGAAGTGGAGATGTGCTACTGAAGCTTTATGTCCCATCTGGAACCGAAAGGAAAAAAAGTACCAACAGCTAATTACTAGAAGTCAAAATGAATAGTTAGAACAAACTTTCAAGCCGGAACACCTATCAACGTTGAGTAGTGCCACAAAGAATGAAGACGAGTTGTCCTCAATGAAAAATGGTTCAGATTTCTAACTTCATCAACTAAAGAAATTACACTACCTGACTATCAAAAATAGAAGATAAACTTCAACAGAAAAGACTGAATTACAATAATGATGACTCTTCCAAGATACATTTCTTCGCCTCCTAGGAATTATCACTTAAATCGTCAAAATGAAATAGGAAAATACGATAAGAAACACTTCAGTGTTTATGATATCCATGATCAAGCAGAAAAAAGTATAGTACCCAGATTGATACTTAAGAGCAAGACATACAAAGAACATATTTATACGCTCAATTGATAAAAGAAGATCAACAGTAATCATGGAAAAGCAGAAATTACACGAAGAAGGCAAATCATTTTCTTAAAGATAATAATGTATATCGAAAGCTTGCAAACACACAAAAATCCTACCCAACCATTAGATAATCAAATCAAAACGACGTTAAACTCATCACGAAGTGGGTGTCCCCTTCGGCTATGAGTCCAACAACATAAACTAGCTGTCAAAAGAACACGGCCTGTATTATTTCATATCGATGCAGGTAAGAAACTATGGTCAACTATGGTCACTATGGTCATCACTGAAGAAATGTAGAAATTTCAAATAGCAGAAACACCGAAAATGTCAGCGAATATTGGCAGAGAAAGCAGTGAAGTGAGAACTTCAGATGAGTACACCAAAAATAGAAGTGGGAAAGATACCCGATCAGTAACAAACAACCACTCAAAATTAGCAGAAGAAATGTAAAAGAAGTCATCTCTTTCACTCTCTTCAACTGGACGGTATAGTCTCAACTACAAAAAGAACAGTACCTGACATATCAGAGTCAGTCAGGATCGGATCAGGAAAGCAAGACAGATGTTCATTATTCTGAAATCGCTGTGGAGGTCCACAGCATTAAGCACAAGGAAAAACATTCGCCATTTTAATACTGATGTCAATTTAATGCTTCTTTATGGTTAACAGACTTGGCTCACGCATTTTCAACAAGCTTCCATGAATTTTCATCGACACTTGCTTTTTCTGGCTCAGATACCCAGTCGGTAGGAAAGAAAAAGTCATTCTGATAGTGCAGCATAATGAAGACAGAGGTGATAAAGATATCCAAACACCAACTAAAATAACAACAATAACAGGAAGCATCAATCACTATCAGAGGGAGAACTTTGAGTAAATTAAATCAGTGATTCTATACAATTCAGATATTTGGAGCGTTCATCAATAAAGACATTTTCAAGTAATGGTTTGTTGGGATTTGATTGATTGGTTACAGGATTTCATCATCAGCTGACATCGGTTAGAGAACCATTGGAAAACCTGCAGGGAGTACTGGACACCTGTTTCCTCCGTCCTAGTTTAGGACCTTCCATCAGTACGCACCCACCGGGGTTCGAACCCTGGACGTTCTGGTTACAAGGCGAGGTAACTCTCAGACCATTAAGCTATTGGGTCAAATCCCAGTGGCTTAATGGTCTACGAGCTGGCTCACCTCGAAATCAACAGGCCCTGGGTTCAAAATCCGGTGAGGGCGTACTAATGAAAAGACATTTTCATCAGGGTACAAACTTTTATCACCAGATGTGATCACTTGGTGGATGGTGACTAGCAGTGGAATCCAAGATGCGCATTTCTTCCTATTTGGGGCTCGTCATCTGGAATTACGTGCATTCCGCAGGTAATCACTGGCCTAATACTGAAGACCAGATGGCCAGAATGGATAATCAGCAAGGGACTCTAGTAGTGCGACGAACCATTCCAACAACCTATCACCCACCAAACGTGCTGAAGGAAATGAAGATGAACTGAGCATATGCTTGTCACACTTTTTTGGTGGAATCTAAACGCAAAGCAACAGATTAGGATATCTGAAGGTAACATGTAGAAGATCATGTGACGAGGAAATGAAAATTTGTCGGTAGTCATGGCATCAACTGAGAGTAATGTCAGAGAATGGAGATGTGATGTTCAAGTCCTACATTTCAAATGGAACTCTCATTCTAGCTTTCTTCTTATGTTTCAGTGTTAACGTACATTGTGCTATGACTGGATCAGCAGTTGTCTCATGAAAAAATAAAACATCAGTCGACTGGTGTTTAATTTTGATCCCATATTTGTTTGAATTGATTTATATAAGTAGATAAACAAGTGTATAGATATATATATACATTAGTTAAACACTGTACTCACATAATACGGTCCCTGATTCTTTTGACTTGCACCTTCAGCGTGTGTATCAAACAATTCTGTTAAAAGTACTGGTTGTTTACGCTGGCGTTTACTCAAACGTACTTCCTGATAAACTTTGCCTATTAATTATAATGTAATCAATAATTAGATTAACCAATTACATCGAATAAATAATAAGGAATTTAAACTATAAGACCACCTGCAATATGCTTAGCCCTAAACGAACAAGACGACCACCGTTCAGTGGTTGATCACTTCAAACTAATTGGCCAGAAACTACCACTGACTGAGGCTGAGTGATATACCATTACTCATCTCAATCAGTAAGTAGCAGTGCATAGTTCTACGCAATCATGCTTGCTTTCCTGATTACCATTTCCAGTATAAACCAGCTCACATATTGATATCTGAATAATTTTGGTTTCTAAAGGAAAGTGGGGTGAAATTTCACTTGAAAGTGTGTAAATTGATAATAATGGATCTGATTCACTTTACATCAGGCTGGATCAAAATCTTCTTAAATGAAAATAGCACTGATTCTATTTTTTAGATAAGTCAGAAACTGTAAATTTGAAACAGGTCCCCTCCTGACTGCAATTTAGAATCTTTAAACAAGATTTTATAGCTGTAATTACTTGTAGGTTAATCAGTTGATGTTACCTCGTGATCTGAACTGAAATCAATCAGATCACTGCATATCAACACCAAAATCCCTAAAGATTTTAATCGATGGCGAAATTATGTTATTTAGTGAATGGTGACAAGCAGTAGAGTCCAGGTCGCCCATTTTGTCCTATTTCAGACTTGTCACCTGAAGACCGAACACTTCGGTCCAGATAAATAATTAATATAGCAAAAATATTTATTCAGACATCTATTAAACACAAAATAATTGAGCAAAGAATATCCTTTTCGATAATTTCCTCTTCTGCCTCTACAATTATATATATATGTTTATATACATAGAATATTCTAAATTAGTAGTCAATAACAATATTAGTGTTTTGTAAATACTATCAATTTGTTAAGTAAGATCAATGCAATTATAGTTCATTAAAGATGCTTAAATTATAATAATAACAAAGATATAGTAGCAAATAGAATATCAACTAAAATTAGGAAAATCCCACAAAATTCATGATCATTCAAACCTAGATGGCCAAGGTAAGGATAATGTTTGAACTAGCTTCTTTTGGATGCACAAATTAGTTTTGTTTATATGAATCCCAACCGACAGCCTCAGCAATATTTAGTACATGAATGATACATTTTTCTTTATGAAAAATGAGGAGGAAGCAAAGAACACCCCTGAATAAATTTAATGAGGTTTATCCTGCAATAAATTTTACTATTGAGAAAGAAAAAGACTCTAGTATTTCATTTCTAGATATCCTTATGACCAGAAAAGAAGATGGTACAATAAGAAGAAGTGTATATAGAAAACGTACATCAACGGGTCAGTATACTCATTTTTTCAGCTTTGTGCCCTTGAAATACAAACGCAGTCTGATAAAGTGCTTGGTTCACAGAGCAAGAGTAATTCGCTGGGATGAATGTCTTGATGAGGAACTTAAAAATATTAAATGGTTGCTGGGTGAAAATGGTTATGCAGGAAAGTTTATTGACAAGAATATGAATCTAAAATCAAAGCAGCCCAAGGTACCAACAATTCCTAAAAAGACCTTATTCTTACAAATTCAGTTCCTCGAAGACAACATCAGAGATACTAACACAACGCTTTAGAAATGCGGTAAAAAGGGCATTCCGGGCTGTTGAATTACATTGTGTCTACAAAACCACTCCTCTCTTGCCTTCGGGAGTAAAAGACAAATTACCTAATTTCGCCTCTTCCATGTGTATCTACCAATTTAACTGCTGTACAATTAGGCGTGTTTCTCGTCGGATTTCCGAACATCACCCTGTGTGGTTAAATAAAGGACAAACAAAATCTATTCACAGCGCTATTCTATCTCATCTTGTGGATACAGAACACAAGATTGACGTTAACCATGCTTTCAGGGTCATTTACCGCATACCAACGAATCTCAATTTTGCCTTAAGAGTTCGACTACTAAATATTGCTGAAGCTGGCTGTTGGGATCCACATTAACAAGCCTAATTTGTGCATCCAAAAGAAGCTAGTTCAAACATTATCCTTACCTTGGCCATCTAGGTTTGAATGATCATGAATTTTGTGGGATTTTCCTAATTTTAGTTGATATTCTATTTGCTACTATATCTTTGTTATTACTATAATTTAAGCATCTTTAATGAACTATAATTGCATTGATCTTACCTAACAAATTGATGGTATTTACAAAACACTAATATTGTTATTGACTACTAATTTAGAATATTCTATGTATATAAACATATATATATAATTGTAGAGGCAGAAGAGGAAATTATCGAAAAGGATATTCTTTGCTCAATTATTTTGTGTTTTATAAATTATTCATAACATATTCTCGCTGTACCAAAAGTGTGTTTCTAGGCACAATCGGTCGACTGGATAATACGTTAAAGTCTTGGACGATGGGTACTGGGTTCGAGCCTTAGTGAGAACACCATCATTCACTAGGTACATCCAGTAGTTGACGAGTTCCAACAAGGCCGAAATTTTCACTCTGAATTCTAGTGCTAGTCATCATCCACCAAGCAGTATCATTTTAACCCAAAGACATCGTTGAGGCGTCCATAATACCAGCTGATATATCAAAAGAGAGAAGCGGAACACTTTGATGCAATCAACCAGATAAACAAACTTAGATTTCACCATAGCGAAAATATTCATTTATTCACTTAGAAGACAAAAGAAAATTTTTCCTCGATAACTTCCTCTTCTGGCTCTCTTGATCCTACGTTTTGTGGTATTCATGTTAGAACTAATAAAGTGGATGCACAAGTTCAGTTTGAAAGTCTCTACACTCAAACCGAAGGGTTAATACCCTAATCAACTGAAGCTGTTGAAAGACTTATATCAACTCTGGTCGATTGTTGCTGTAATTATATGAATAGTAAACGCAACTCAGATAATACTTTGACCGAAAGCCAGAGATATTCTCCGAAAAAACGATACCATAGTAATAACAAGATCTGATAAGGGTTCAGGAGTGGTTACCTTGAACAAAACGGATTACTTAGAGAAGATGAATACCATTCTTAATGACAGTCTAATATTCCAAAAAATCTCATCTTATCTGGATCCGACTGAAAAGATTGAAACAATAAGGCTTTTTCGACGTATCTTCCTTATTCCCCAATATACCACTTATAGAAACAGTAGACTTTGTATGTGAAGAATATATAAGACAAACATCGATGTCGGCATTCCAATATATTTTATAAAAGAGCTTCTTTTGAATGTTCACTTTTTATTTAATAAGGAATAATACAAACAAATTGATGGTGTGGCAATAGGGTCACCACTAGGACCCATTCTAGCCGACATTTTCCTTGCAAAACTAGAGAATGTGCATCTGAAAGATGTGATTGATGAACTAGAATTCTACTGTCAGTATATGGACAATACATTCGTGATTATGAAAAATAAGGATGAAGCAAAGAACATCCTGAACAAATTTAACGATGTCCATCTTGCAATAAATTCTACCATCGAGTAAGAAAGAGACTCTAGTATTTCATTCCTAGACATCCTTATGACTAGAAGAGAGGATGGCACAATAAGAAGTTTATTTGGAAAACCTACATCAACCGGTCAGTATACTCATTTTTTTCAGCTTCCTGCGTTTGAAGTACAAATGCAATCTAATAAGTGTTTGGTCGGCCACAGAGCAAGAGCAGTCTACTTTGATGAATGTCTTAATGAAGAACTTAATATTATAAGACAGTTGCTGAGTGAGAACAGTTACCCAGAAAAAATTCATCGATAAAACTATGAATCAAAAGTCAAGACAGGCTAAAGTACCAACAGTTCCGAAAAAGGCCTTATTCTTACAACTTCATTTCCTCAGGGATAACATCAGCGAGATATTAACACAAGGCCTAAAGAAATCGGTAGAAATAGCATTCAGTGCTCCTGAATTACGCTGTATGTTCAAAACCATCCGTATGTTGCGTTCGGAAACTTAAGACAACCTACTTAATTTCGCCTCTTCTAGGTGTATGTATAATTTTGACTGCTCCTATCGAGCCAGCTACATAAGCCGCACAATTAGGCGTGTTCATTGTCGGATTTTCGAACACCATCATGAGTGGTTAAGTAGGGGAGAAAACAAGTCCATTCATAGTTCTATACCCTGTCATCTCGTAGATACAGAACACGAAGTTAATGTAAACAAGGCCTTCAAAAGTCATCTACCGCATACCAAATAAGCTTAATTTTACCTCAAGAGTTCGTCTACTACACTAAATATTGCTGAGGTTAGCTGTTGGAATCTAAATTAAGAAACCTAATCGGTATATCAAAAAGAAATTGATTTAAACGCTTTCCTTACCCCGCTGGCCATCAAGGTTTTAATGATCCTTGATTTGTTGTAGAGATTACCTTAGTTTCATGTGATATTCTACTTGCTATCAAATTTTTATGCTAATTATAACTTATGTATCTTTCTTGAACCGTAATTTCATTGGTCCTAACAAAATGACAATATTTAAAAAACATTACTGTCGTTAGTGATGATTACTCTGGAATAATCTATATATATTTTCAAGTATTGTTTTGTAGGTATTTGATTGATTGGTTACAGGATATCATCATGAGCTGACATCAGTTGGAGAACCATTTGGAAAACCTGTAGGGACTACTGGACAGCTGTTTCCTTCATCCTACTTTGTGGCTTTTCATCAGTACGCACCTACCACCAGGGGTTCAAACCCAGGTCCTTCTGGTTACAAGGTGAGCTAGCTCGTAGACCATTAAGCCACTGGGTCCTGTCGATTCAATGGCTGGTTAATGAATTCCAACTCCTGCCAGTTCACGATATAGCGCGACCACTAGCCAATGTCTTCGGCGGATATTTGTCCTCACACCCAACTTGCTGCACACTACTGGTCACGACCTCCTACCAATATTTGAAAATTAGTTAGATACTAACAAGCTGCTAGCCCTATTCAGGTAGGTGCTTACCTGAATTCTAGTGGGACGTCATGGCCAGTAGGGTACAGCAGGTCCAATACCCGCCGCCAATGACATTCACTAGTGGTCGTGGTATGTTGTGAAATGGCAGAAGTTGGAATTCATGGACCGGCCACTGAATTGGCAGGTCCAAGTGGCTTAATGGTCTACGAAGTAGCTCGCCTTGTAACCAGAAGGTCGTTGGTACGAACCCTGGCGGTGAGTGCGTACTGCAGAGTAGTCCCGAACTAGGACGGAGGAGACAGCTGTCTGGCAGTACTCCCAGTTGGTTTATATATATATATATATAACTGTACAACCAAAAGAGGAAATTATTAGAAAGAATATTCTTGGCTCAAATTTTCTTTTGTCCCCTGTGATAGACTTAAACAAATAATGACAAAGTAAAGTGGCTTATATATACTTTTCAACTAAATTTTTCTAATCAAAAGCATAATAGAATAAAGCTGAGATTTACTTCACTTACCTAGCACAGTATTTTTCCAGGCATTTACACGAAAACTTGATAAAGCTTTATTCATTTCCTCAAGTGACATTTCACCGTCTAGCTCTCCTGACATTTCTACGGTGAATTCAGGACTTGTTGATTCTTTCTTTATGACAAAAAATAGTAAGATGATAAATTTTTAAAATTTCTTATTTATAGCTTGATTTCACACAGTATTTTTGGTATAAGAATGCAATTTCCAGCATGTGATATCGGTAGCCCAAATTTAGCAGGCCGACCATTTGATATCAGGTGTTTGTCAGCCGGGGATCGAACCCCGGACCATAAATAAATGCATAACTTGTACACCGGAAAATAAACACGAGATAGTATTTAAATCAGTATATACTGAATGATTACAGTGATAAGTAGCAATATTGATCAATTGTCAGATAGTCGTGATATTGCTGAGGCTTACTAAAGGCGTTTGATGCACAACCGTATCAGTGCTCTCAATTTATGTTCTACGCCAGTGTAAGTTGGTTCATTTGAGCTGAAGATGTCTTACGACTTTGTGTCCCTACATGTACAAGGTGAAGACGGTCTTTGAATAGATAAAATGTCCTTTTGAAGTAAAAGTTATATTAATCCATAAACATTTGTGTTAAATAATGACATTTAAGAAAATTTCACTCCATTCTTTATTTGTACAAGAAGACAGAAGATTGAGAAAGGAGAGGGATTCCTATTGAATTAGTTCCTTATTAAGGGCTGTACAATTATACATATATATATATATATAATTCCCTTGGATATTGAGTGGAAAATAGGACTTCAGGAGCACGTCTTCCTTTCGCACTGTACCCTGAATTCCTCTTTGACTGACTCCAAGATTTGGCATAAGCTTTAATTTCCCCTTCGCACAATCTCCTCCATGTCACATATGACCGAGTGTCTAGGACCCTGTAATGTATCAAGCATTTTGCTTCAGAAATGTGCTGATATCTTGTGTTATCCTCTTACTCAAATCTTTAATGCATCATTTCACAGAGATACAGTACCTGTTGTCTGGAAAGAAAGAAATGTGGTCCCTGTACCAAAGTCATCTTCTGCATCAGGTCTAAAGTTTAGGCCAATCGACATCATATCTCCATCTTTGAAAATTATGGAAAAACTTCTCTTGCATGTTATTAAATCTTCTTTGAAATATTTTAATGACCCAAAGCAATTTGATTACAAATGCAATAGAAGTACATTAAATACTGTCGTTTGTACTCTACCACAATATTGTTTCAAATCTTGATAAAGGCGTAGAGTTTGTTCAGGCCTCCTTTTGAGATTACACTGCTGCTTTGGATTCCGTTCCTAGGGCACTTTTACTAAGCAAGCTGATTTCAGCAAACACTGATTCCTGGGTCACAATGTGGCTGTCTTGTCATTTTTTGGGCAGAAAACAACATACTGTTTTGAATGGAAGGTGCTTCATTTCGTGCGTCGAGGCCTTGGTATACTCTCTCCATTCCTCTTTTCTGTCTTTTTGCATTACCTTCCATATTCTTCCAAAGCTAACTTCATTCAATATACCGATGATCTTACCATTTCTATCTCAGCAGTTTCTGCTTTGGATTGCTCTCATATGTATGCATTCTTGTTTGAAGTTAATAAATAGTCTCACCTAAATGGTCTTAAATTAAATCCATCTACATGTCATATTGTTGATTTTAGTTTCATTTGCGAACAAGACTTGCGGGGACCTATTTAGTAGCATTATTCCTCTAATACTGACAGCACTGTGATAGGAAGTAAATCGAATACCTCTCATTTCGGCATCATTTTCTCTTCGAATCTCTGTTGGTCGTCCCATAACCTGTTGATTTCTAAGAAACATTTCCGTTTGACTAATTACATCAAGAAGTTGAAACTTTCCACTGGCATAACTCAACCTCTTCGCTTACAATTCGTTAATTCATGTATTCTGCCCATTCTCCTTTATTTTTCGCCATTATTCTCCGCTGGACTTCTCAAAAAAGACTCTGCTGTATTGTGTAGAACACTGAAGACTGTAAATAGGGTGAGTGATGTGCCTTTGACTAAGCTAACTGACATTATTCTCAATAGGCATTTCAATTCTTGCAAACATTTTGGCTAAAGTTATCTTGTCTGGCACTGAACACCCTCTTTATTCTCAACTTTCTCCTTGTATATCTTCGGGTAAGACCAGAAGAAACGAAACCTAGGTCCAAGGCTTCCTGCAGTTTGCCTCCAAACATCTATTATCAACAATTCAAAGTGCCACATTGCAAACTTGACTGATGTGAGAATTCAGTTTGCACCAAACAAAGGACTACAGACACAAATTACACTAGTTACTGACTAGTGTCCAATCAAAATACTTAGTTTTATTCAAAATATCTGTTGACTTACACGAGAAGTTTCTAGAAAATTTTCTAAGCTATCAATTGGTGCAGGTATATCGGCTATTAGGTCGCCAGATGTACCCTCTGGACAACTTTCTGTACTGGCTATCGATGGTAAAGCATTCTCTCGTTGAATATTTTCCAGCTTCCATCGAATTTCCTTTTTAATAAATGGCAGATATAATAGAAAACAAGTTGAATGTCTACTAGTCACTTTGCGACATTTTTTAAATGTTTAAAACTCATTTTAAGAATGGTTATGAAATGAAAAACAGTGGAAATCTCTTCTTATTGAGTACACTAATGAGGCTTTCATTAATCCTCCACAAAACCTCTATTTACTGAAGGAACAACTAATTGTAAATGTGAAATTTGAAGGAGATACAATTAATCCACTGCTCCTAAGATGTCGACACAGAGTTCTCCATGTATGCTGTAGTTCACCAAAGCATAAAAAGGCAGGATCGGACTGCCGGCAACTTCAGTGCGTATTTATCAGTTCACTTGTTCGTGTCAGCTCACTTTTTCGTTCTCTTGTTTCCCATGAATTGTTTTCAAATGATTGTTCATCACTTGATGAATTAGCTATCAACTCACTCGATCGCGTCAGATTTTTCACACATCGTTATTTCTAGTACACTGTGACCTATTCAGTTACGAAGTGATAATAACCTTTGACCTTTGTTGTCAATATAAACCGCTTAAATAACAAAAATAAATCTTTTCATTCTCAAGAGTTAGTTTGCAGGGATTTGATCTATTTCAAGTTTGATTATGGATTGATATCAGTTAGAAAACCGTTGGAAAACCCTCAAAGAAGTACTCGGCATCTGTTTCGTCCTAGCTTGAGATTCGTCGGCAGTATCAATAAACCTGGTTTTGAACGCAGGACCTTCCGGTTACAAGGCAAGGTTGTAGACCATTCAGCCACTTGCATCTCATCCAACTGCCAGCCCATGAATTCTAACTTCTACCAATTTGTGACTTAGCGCGATCACCAATAAGTATGTCATCGGCGAGTATTTGTTCTCACTGTCGACCTGGTGGACTCCGCACTGTTGATGACTTCCCACTAGAACTCCAGGAAAATTCGTCCTTGGTTGAATTTATGGACCATTGAATCTCAGAGATTAACTGCCTCAATTCATCACAAACTTCTTGTTGTCAAAAGGAGAAATAGGGCATATTTTTAAGTCAACCTTTCTAATGGATTAAATACCCTTTATCAGCATTATAATAGTCATTTATAAACTGACAATTCGGATTTATCTCAATACGAAATGTACACAAACCAATATTTTACTCTGTAAGCCCAGTAATCTGGATAAGTTTGTTGAGTGCAGAAACCAACACTATAAAATACCTAAAATTTATGCATGACATGATATCGTGTTCCTCGACTAACATGGAGAACCAACATAAGATTAGGTTGAAAAATAGTCAAAGTTGGTCAAACCAAAACGTGGGATCAATTCACGAAGCTTTCTGACTCTTCATTTGAGCCATGTAGGTAAGTATAAACTGCCTAGCTGATTTCCCTGAAACGATAAGAATCAACGACTGTAGATCAATATTGATGTTATGGCTCAGAATTGTTTCCGATAGCAAACTTCAGTTCATTCCTTGTTATCTGCCAGTTGTGCAACATTGTGATTATTTTTAGTGTAATTATTCTTTGAAAAGAATGGATACTGAACAGAGAGTGCTCTTTTCGATAACTTCATCATCAGGCTCTACAGTTATATATACATTATAATGAATGGATGAATTAGTGTTATGAACAACATTAATGTTGTTTGAATATCATCGAATCAATAATAATTATATCGGTGGATTACAGTCCGATAGCATCACCATAACAATAAACAGAATATTCACGAAAATTAGGAAAGATAATAATACAAATTCATGAATTTATAGTCTCTACTGAAGGCCAAAGCAGTAGTAAGCGCTGAACTTGCTTCTTTTGCACACAGAGTACTGGTTGTTTGGGGCGAATTGCAATAGCCTCTGCTGTTTGGAGCATCCGGTACCTCGATATTTTGGCAATTTATTTTGTACCCGGTAGATGATAGAGAAGCATTCTTCAACGCTGGGTGGCTTTGTGGCCGGTTTGCACCAGATGGTCCAATATCCACTAGACCCTTTACTTAGCCATACTGGGAGATGTTGTCGAGCACGAAAAATCAAGTTCCTAGAGCAACGGTCAATATAACTCACTCCAAAAGCGCAGTTGAATTGGTAGATACAATTTGAAGTGGCTAGTCTAGGTAATTCAGCTTTCAATCGAGGAATCACCATCGGTCGTTTAGTTTGCCAGCATTAAAAGTTCTTTGAACTGATTTTCTTAATTTCTTCGTAATTATTTCACTTGGTGTATCACCGTTGAATTGCAGTCGTATATAGAGAGGCTTCTTGTTTACAGATAGTGAGTAGTCCTTTTCCGCTTTCTTTGTCATGTGTTTTTTGATAAATTTTTCTTTCTCCAATATTGTTATTATTATTTATCATTATTTGTTTGCTTTTTGAGTGGAACATAGAGCTTCATCAGAAGCACATCTCCGTTTCGTCCTATTCTCTGGAGTCCTCTTTATTTATTTTATTTTTTGATTATAGCTTGATTCCATACGGTATTTTTGGTACAAGTATGGCATTTTCAGCATGTGATATCGGTAGCCGAAATTTAGCAGGCCGACCATTAATATCGGGTGTGCGTCGGCAGGGGATCAAACCCCAGACCATGTGCATGGTCGGCGAGAGTCCTGACCGCTGTGCCACCGACGCACTTTAGTTGGTTTCAAGATTATCCAGAACCTTTCAGCCCTTCTTCATACGATCTCCTCCATGTCACCCTTGGATCCACGCCCAACTCATCGTTTTCCACTCAAGCTACAGCCCGGGGCGTGATTTCATCCGACGGTCACTCGAGCGTGTGTCCAATCCATCTATATTTTCTTCGGCAAATGTCTTAAGCAAAAGGCTGCTGATTGATTCGTTCCCAGAATGTCTTGTTACTGATTCTCTATTTCTGGTAATCTGATCCTGAGTGCGGAGTCAACAAAAGCAGCCGTTGATAAGAGTCTGCAGCTGGATGTTCAAAATGCCTTTTTTGATGCGCACTGAAAGTCTTTGACCTATATAGCACTGACTGATTTAACGCTGGTGTTGAATATCCAAATTTCTTATCTTCGCTAGTTGGTTTTAGTCCGTAGATCCTCGAGTCAATGTGACATTAGACGTAAATCGTTCACAAATTGCAAATTTCTTACAATCTTCTTGTCAGCCGAAAGTATTCCTCTCTTCTCGCTCTCCATGGTCTGTCGCATAATCCAGTCCATCATAATCAGAAATATCATTAGTGATAGTAGGCATCCTTCTCTTATTTTTGTCTTCCCTTCATAGACTTCGCTTTATCGAATACATTTTTGTTTCATACAGTTTCTTTACGTCTATCCTTTTCTTCACCTTTGCATATCCTTTATGAAGTTTAGCACTGTTGTGAAAAGTCTTACCTTGAAAATTCAATCCAGTCCAGCTCAAATCATTTCCGCAGAACATCACCAATTGGCAACACAGATTTATATCAGAAAACGCGATCTTTCAAAATTATTTTTTACACAACTTAAGATTGAATGTTAAGCCTTCTGTTGAAATTAAGCTCATCCATTACAATGAGGTCTATTTTTTTATTCTTCACTTTCCGAGTGGATCACGGGGCTTCATTCTTGTGCTTTGAAAATTTAGTAGTAGTGGTATTTATTTATTTTTTTCGGGGGTAGTGCTGTTAGCCTCACTCTCAGCCTTCTCTTTTTAATCAGGCCTACTATCGAATAAGTTAGAGTTTAAAAGTACGTCTACTGGGGATCAAGCCCTAACCAGGTGAGGTGTAGTTGGCCAGCATTCCACCAGTAAACCAAAGGCGCACAAAAAGATTACTTTAATTGGACACTAGTAACTAGTGTGATGTGTATACTCCTATCTTTGGTGCAGACTGAATTCTATCATTCAGGTTTGCAGTGTGGTCAGCATGACACTGTGTGGTTCGCCATCACGGTGCACACTGATTTGATGATACTAGATGTTTGGAGGCAGTCGGCCACAGAAAGCCTTGCCAGCCGTAGGTTTCGTGCTAGTTGGCAATCACCGGTCAGTAGGGCGTATCTGTAACCTCCAACCATCTAATATCTTCAAATTAGTGTACACCATGATGGCGAACCACCTAGAATGCTAGCCACATTGCAAACCTGACTGATAGAATTCAGTCTGCACCAAAAGGAAGGACTAGACACATCACGCTAGTTACTAACTAGTTTCCAATCAAAGTACACAATACAGTCCTACAGGAGGTCAATCACGAGTCCCAACAGCTCAGTGGTAAGCTCTCTGACTGCAGAACCGGATGATGCAGGTTCGAATCTCCGAAAGGAGATGAATTCCTTCAGGTTAGTTGGAGATACACCTTTCTGAACAGTGAGTGCCAACTAGCACGAAACCTAGTTGGAAGGCTTCCTGTGGCCGACTGTCTGAAACCATCTTATAGCACAAAAAGACCTACGCCTCTTATTAATATTTCAAAATATATTCAGTAATGTTCAGCGCTAGGAAAATTTCCGCTTTAGAAAAGAATATGAAATTGATAAGAAAAAGTAAAAAGAGACTTACTTGTCCAAATATGCCTATCTTCATACCTTCAAGGGTCCATAAAACTACTGAACAATCACTAGATGCTGTAGCTATAAGCGTTCTACGTTCCACACGTGAACAAAAACACAGACCAGAAATTAAGTCTATATGAGCACTCCATTTACCTATTAAATCTAGAACAATAGTTAAAATTTTAAATATATTTGATTGACAACTATTCGATTGTATAAAAAGGATGAACAGTTACAGTTACAAGTAGAAGTAACATTACACCTCTGACAAATTAGTAGAATTTGAAAACCTTACACTGTATTTCCTCTCTTTCCCTCTAGAAATTGGATGACTCTGCCATACAAACTCACAAATTCATTAAGACAGAAGCTATGTAAATTGATAAATGTCACATTCCTAATTATATTATTATTATTGTATCCTTTAATTCCTACAGGAACATAGGGTTTCAGCCGTGTGTCTCCATTGCGTTCTGTTGTCTGCTAGAGTCTTCACCTGGCTCCA